TGTGTCTCTGTGTCTGTGTCTCTGTGTCTCTGTGTCTCTGTTGTCTGTGTGTGTGTGTGTGTGTGTGTGTGTGTGTGGTGTGGGGTGTGGGTGTGTGTGGGGTGTGGGGTGTGTGGGGGTGTGTGTGGGGTGTGTGTGGGGTGTGTGGGGGTGTGTGTGGTGTGTGGGGGTGTGTGGGGGTGTGTGGGGTGGGGGTGGGGGGGTGTGGGGTGGGTGTGGGGTGGTGTGGGTGCGTTGTGGGGTGCGTGTGGGGGTGTGTGGTGGTGTGTGGTGTGTGTGTGGTGCGCGTGGGTGCGCGTGTGCGCGTGTGCGCGTGTGCGCTGTGCAGCGTTGTGCGCGTGTGCGCGTGTGCGCGTCGTGTGTGCGTGTGCGCGTGTGCGCGTGTGGCGGGTGGCGTGTGCGCCGGTGTGTGTGTGTTGTGTGTGTGTGTGTGTGTGTGTGTGTGTGTGTGTGTGGTGTGTGTGTGTGTGTGTGTGTGTGTGTGTGTGTGTGTGTGTGTGTGTGGCGTGCGTGTGTGTGTGTGTGTGTGTGTGTGTGTGCGCGGGGGGGGGGGGGGTGTGTGCGGGGTGTGTGAGTGTGTGTGTGTGTGTGCGCGCGTGTCTAATCTCTATCAAACTCATACTGACCATGAAACTTGGTATCAAGAACAGGAACTACAAGCAAGATACTAGGTGTAAGCTTTTGTTGTGTAGTACTTATAGGGGGTTACGCTGCCCTCTTATTTGCCTCAGAACCCCCCGAAGAACTAACACACACACACACACAGCATCCCCTTGTTACACTTGCGGGGAAGTTGAGATTTTCATGTTTATGTTCGGTGGTTCTGAAGCAAACAGTAGTGACGCGTCCTTCCAGGTAGACGCCATGGTCCAGCATTGCCTTGTAGAGGGCGGACCTCACGGGGTTGGCCTTAAGCCCTTTGAAAAAAGGGGTTTACATATAGGGTTTAGGCGGTTCAGGCATGTTCTATGGTGATTGTGATTGCGATATGTCAGGTTGTTAGATATTACCTCAGTTATTGTCCTGCAGACCCCCCAGAGTTCCCTGGAGTAAACCCTAAACCCTAAACACCCCCCGAAGCCCGAGCCCTCGCCTCAAACCTTAAAATCCCATAGGCTCTGCCAGTACGACTCGGAACTCCCAAACAACAAATGAGATGGAAGGACCCAGATCCCAGAAATCCTTTCAATCCTATGGACCCTAAACCCTAAACCTCTAAACCCCTAAACCCCTGAACCCTAAACCCTAAACCCTAAACCCTAAGCCCTAAACACTAAACCCTAAACCCTAAACCCTAGCCCTAAACCCTAAACCCCAAAAACCTGCGACTCAGGGTTTTCACAGGGTCTTGGCGAGGCCCTGGCTGAACTTGCACGTTCACAGTCACTGCTGTTTCCAGGTCATGGTCGCCTGCTCCAAGGTTTAGGGTTTAGGGTTTAGGGTTTAGGGTTTAGGGTTTAGGGTTTAGGGTTTAGGGTTTAGGGTTTAGTGTTGAGATTTTAGGGTTCATGTCCACCCTTAGGGTTTAGGGTTTAGGGTTTAGGGTTTGGGGTTTGGGGTTTGGGGTTTGGGGTTTGGGGTTTGGGGTTTAGGGTTAAGAGTTTAGAGTTCAGGCTCATGTCCACCTGTAGAGTGCGCAAACCCCACAAAGGGCAAAGGCTACCCAGTCTTTGTAAAGTTTTGGGGAGGCTTGCACCCGTGGTTCAGGGTTTACGGGTTCAAGGGTGTCTGTAGAGTAGGTGCTTAAGACTTAAAACGGGAACTACATAGACCCAAGTAGCGCCTCTGACCGTACAGGATCCTTCTATACTTCCATTATGATAACAGAATGTTTCTCAACGGTGACCCTTTAAGCCCAAAGAACTGAAACCCTGAACCTTGCACCCAAAACCCTCAGCCCCTAAAGCCCGACACGCCCTGAAACCTAACACCCTAGAACCCCTGAATTAAAACCAACAAAAAAGGGTAAAGTCCTTAAAGCCCCCAAAACCCTGAACCCTCAAGCCCTAAAACCCCAAAGTCCCAAGACAACGAAACTCCCAAACGCAAAAACCCCGAACCCAAAACGGTTGTCAAACTGGACCGTAATTCCCAAACCCTGAGCCCTAGAAGCCCAAAACCTTTAAACCCTAAACCCAGAATCCTAGACCCTAAGCCCAGAAAATATAAACCCTAAACCCTAAACCCTAAACCCTAAACCCTAAACCCTAAACCCTAAACCCTAAACCCTAAACCCTAAACCCTAAACCCTAAACCCTAAACCCTAAACCCAGACTGGGGGCTCTCCGAAGTTCAAGGGAGCTTTGGTGTCGTGGGGGCTTTGAGGGTTCAGGTTGTCGACTCACAGGGTTTAGGGTTTAGGGTTTAGGCTTGAGGGTGTAGGGTTTAGGGTTTAGGGTTTAGGGTTTAGGGTGTAGGGTTTAGGGTTTAGGGCTTGGAAGGTCCACCACTCTCCGTGCTCGCGGTTGGTTCTTTTCGGGTCGCCTCCGAAAGTCCGGAAACCCCAATCCGCCAAGAACCTTCAAAGCTTTGAGCCTTATCCTAAACCCTAAACCCTAAACCGTAAACCCTAAACCCTAACCCCTCAACCTAAACCCTAAACCCTAAACCCTAAACCCCGAACCCCAAACCCCAAACCCTAAACACCCCACCTTTCATGATGATGTCTGGCTCGACAATCGGGACCAGCCCCTCCTCTTGGCAGATCAAGGCCTGCGCTGGGGGGGCCCATGGAGTTTCGGTTTTAGGGTTTAGGGTTTAGGGCTAGGGTTTGGGGAAAGTTTAGGGTTTAGGGTTTAGGGTTTAGGGCTAGGGTTTAGGGTGTAGGGTTTAGGGTTTAGGGATGAAAGGCTTCACATTCATTAGGGCAAGTGGGCTTAGAGGATGGGGCAGTATTTAGGATGGCCCGTAAATCTTTCTGATTTTCCCCTCAATCTGATTCCCTTCAGCCCAAGAAGGGAGAATATCCCAAGGCACAACCAAGCAAAATATGTGTATCACTCCCAGCACATTACCCAGACGCCCTGGTGGTAGGATCCAAAGAGCAGAACCCCCCCCCCCCCAAAAAAAAAAAAAAGTTACCCTATACTAATATTGGGTCATTTTTAGGAACCCTCCAAGGGGTCTGGAAGCACATTAAAAGGCTATGGGGTTCTTAAGGAAGGCAGGGTTCATGGGGGGGGGGGGGTAGGTACCCTGGAATTTTTGGGAAGCTGAGCGAGCCTTAGGGAGTAGTGTATTCGGGAACCTTGGGTAACCCCTCTTGAGCCCCCACCCCCCCCCCCCTTCCCCCTCAAGATCCGCCGAACTCGACATCCCTATGACCAAATGCTACCACCTGCAACCCTACACCCTCTAAGCCCCTCGAAACCCTCCTCCCTTAAGAGCCCTATAAACTAGACTCAAGAGTAACCTAGGCATAACAAGGGTGCCCTTTTTGGTTTTCAGGGGCTTCTAAAGGGAACCAGAATCCTCAAAAAGAGAATAAGGGCCTGCTCTGGAGTCCTAGCCCTAAACCCTAAACCCTAAACCCTAAACCCGAAACCCCTGAAGCCCAAACTTTTTCATTGGCGGGTCTTGTGATCCACCCTACAAGCGCCTTTGGCACCCGGGATCGGAGGTGTGCGCACCCGGCCCCTTAGACCATGTACTGCAGCCTAAAGAACCCTAAACCCTAGCCCTAAACCCTAGCCCTAAACCCCAAACCCTAAACCCTAAACCCTAAACCCTAAACCCGAAACACAGACCGGTCTGAGAGGGGGGGGGACTCTGCGGAATCACCTGCCTTTGGCAGAGATCAAGCCGCAGTCAAAAGCCGTGGGCCAAGCCACTGCCGTGAACTCTAGGCTTTAAGGTTTAGGGTTTAGGGTTTAAGGTTTAGGGTTTAGGGTTTAGGGTTTAGGGTAATCTCTGAATCCGCTTTCAGATGCTTTAAGAACGTATGAACCCTATAGGGTGTAGGGCTTAGAGGTATCAGGGTTTAGGGTTTAGGGTTTAGGGGGTTCAGGGTTTAGGGTTTAGGGTTTAGGGCTAGGACTTTGAAACTTCGGCCGAAGCCGCGACCTCCACACTGTTTCGAGGCCACAGGGAAAACCCTGCCTCCGTGGTGTCCCATGCAGGGTCCCGGGATTTAGTTTAAGGGTTTAAGGGTTTAAGGGTTTAGGGTTTAAGGATCTAGGGATTTAGGGTTTAAGGGGGTGTAAGGGGTTTAGGGTTTAGGGCTTTAGGGTTTAGGGTTTCAGGGTTCCGGGATTCGAATTTGGGGGTTTAGGGTTTTCATTTAGGCAGGGCTCCGGGAATTTAGGGTTGAGGTTTTTAGGGTTTAGGGCTGAGGGTTTAGGGTTTTTGGGTTTGGGGTTCTAATTTGGGTTTAGGGTTTTAATTTAGGGTTTTAGGGTATAGGGTTCTAGGGTTTAGCACTTTGGTTGTTTTTTTAATGTAAGGTGTTAGGTCGTTTTTGTTTTTGCGTTTTGTGGTTTTAGGCTTTAGGGTCTTAGGGTTTGAATGTAGGGTTTTAGGTGCTAACTTCGGGCTTTAGGGTTTTAGGGTTTCGGGCTGAGGGTTTGCGGGTTTAAGGGTTTCGAATTAGGCGTTTAGGGTTTTAGGCGTTTAGGGTTTGGGGTTTTGAGGGGTTTAGGCATTTAGGGTTGGAGGGTGCTGGGGTGTCCTTCCCTACCTCTACTATGCCAAGGGCTGGTCCGTGTGGAGATTAGGGTTTAGGGTTTAGGGTTTATAAGGGCCCGGCATGGTCTGAACATATTCGGCGAGCCCTTCCCGGGGTCTAAATGCCAGACATCCCCAAAGCCCAAACCCCAATCCCGACCCCTTAGACTACACCCTGAACCTAACACCTTAAACCCTAAACCCTGAACCCTAAACCCTAAACCCTAAACCCTAAACCCTAAACCCTAAACCCTAAACCCAAACATTAAGCCCTCCACCGTACGGACGAGCTGTTCATGTGACACCCGGGACAAAGTCGAAGCAAATTGACCAGGAGCTCAGATTGATAGCATCGGGTGTCGATGCAGATGAAGAAGAAGCCCCGTGACCTTGGCCACTTCGTCCTGTCGGAGTTTGAGGCTATTCGGGTTTAGGGCTTAAGGTTTAGAATTAGTTAGGGTTTGCTAGGGCTTGGGGTTTAGGCTTGAGGGGTCCGGGGCAGTTGGGGTGAGGGGTCTAGGCCTAGGGGTTATCTTTCTTCTCCAATAACTTGTAACCGGGGAGCTTTGAAGGGTCAAACTTTACATGTTCGGTCGTTCCCACGAAATCTGAGAACCCCGAAAGAAAGCTTAAAGTTCATTCATTGGCTAAGCAAGCTGGAGGCGGAGGTGCGTCTCAAGGCCTTGTCTTGAGAACGAGAGGTGCCCCCGAGGGTCTAAACTTATGGCTCCAATCATCTCTTTTGATGTTCCCAGAGAGCCCAAGACCCCGTAGTTAAGGAATACAGCTCAGATCACATTAAGACCCGAACTTTGATGTCAGGCTTATTCCTGAATGAAGGGGTGTTGGGCTCTCTCTGGGTACCTGATGTGTTCAAAGTAGCAACCTACAGCGAAGCGCCGGCCGGCTTACGGTTTGAGGTTTAGGGCGCTGCGGTTTAGGGTTTCGGGTTTATAGGGTTTAGGGTTTATCGGGTTAGGGTTTAGGGTTTATATAGGGTTTAGGGTTTAGGGTTTGGGGTTTGGGGTTTGGGGTTTAGGGTTTAGGGTTTAGGGTTAGGGTTGGTTCAGGTCCAGGGTTGCCAGGAAGGTCCTTGATGGCGTTGAGCTCTTCCTCCAGGGCCGACTGGGAGTGGGCGTAGGTTGAGATGAGCCACCTCCAGGCTGCTGAGAGGCTGGCTGTGTTTAGGGTTTAGGGTTTAGGGTTTAGGGTTTAGGGTTTAGGGCTTAGGACTGAGGGTTTAGGGCCCAGGGCAGGGTTTGGGGACCCACTTACTATACCCCCTGCCCCCTCCTCCCCCGAGAAAATTTGGAACTGGCCATGCAGCGACTCGGGCTTCGGGGGTTGAGAAGTTCAAGCAGAACCCTCTAAACTCCAAGGTAGCGGGTTAGAGTTTGGGGTTTGGGGTTTGGGGTTTAGGGTTTAGGGTTTAGGGTTATGGTCCCTTGATAACTAGAGTAGGGTTTTGGGGGTCATTATAGTAGAGTTTTTTCAAGGGCCAAAAGGGAACACTATGAGTAACTATTCCGACGCAAGCCATTAACTAGAGGGTCCGAGAATATGGTCCCTTTGCATTCTTCAAAGGGCTCTGAAGTATGGGCCCCGGGGTTTTGGAGGGTGTCTAAGGGGTATATAAAGGGTCCCCTTTTCAGGGCCCATATTGAAAGTGACCATGTCACGACCCAACCCTGAACCCTTAACCCCAAACCCTAGAACCCTACAGAAGGCCGCCTCTGATCGTGCTCTACATGCGCCACGTCCATCGATGTGGCCCCGCCGCGGAAACGGAGGCATCCGAGGAAGAACTCCTCAACTGCCTGCACAAGGAGCACCCTAAACCCTAAACCCTAAACCCTAATCCGTAAACCCGAGGAGGGGGGGTTTAGGGTTTTTAGGGGAAGGGGTGAAGCTTGTCGGGGAGTTGGGCTTGGGGGTTAGCTATGGTTGGGGGGTGGGGGTTCAGGGTTTATGTCTTGGGGTTTAGGCTTTAGGAAGCGTTTAGGTTTAGGGCTTATAAGCCCTATAGGGTTTAGGGTTTAGCTTTGGGTTGGGGTTGGGGCGGGTGGGCCCCTTGATGGCGATCATCTCCACCCCGCAGGGTGAGTAAGATGAGAGTTGACAAGGATTTGGGAGCAGAGATACTCGGCCCTCGGGGGTTATCAGAAACGACACCCTGAACCCCTCAACTAACCCTAAACCTCTCTTTCCCATGTACACAATCCTTAATGGCCCAAGTCGGCGGCAAATTTGCCTACACAGTCGGCGTGTTCGCCTCATTAGTCGGCAACTTGCCGGGACATTAAGCATTTTGCTGCGACTGTGGCCAGAAGCGCCCGATGCGAGGACCCCACACCACGTAAGCCCTAAACCCACGGGGGAGGACCCTACCCTAAACCCTAAACCCAAGATCCTTTTGCTCTCTTTCGGCAGCGGAGACCCACAAAACCCAAAGCGCGAGCACCAAAGTTTCGGGTTTAGGGTTTAGGGTTTAGAATTTTAGGGTTTTGGGGCTTCCGGTTCTTAGGCTTATTGGTGAAACAGCTCAGAGTTCAGAATGTCTAAAGTCTTCCTGTCCTCTAAGGTCTACATTCACCCTAAACCGTACACCCTAAACCCTAAACCGTACACCCTAAACCCTAAACCCTAAGGCGTCTGAATACTCCACCCCGGTCAGGAACCCAGTGAGCCCAATGCCCATCAAGGAATATACCTTAAATCATATTCGGATCCTTCTATACTCCCCTTAGAACCTCAATAAAAACAATATTGTTAATATCCTCTTGGAATTTCATATGAAACAAAATAAATCCCAAGGGGGATATAGCCTTATCACTAGTACATGTCTTAGTTAAGGGGTATTTGGGCTCTTTGGGAACGCTGCTTAAGGGTTTTACGGTCGAGGCAAGCCACCACAATGCCGTCCCGGTCTTCGTCCAGCAGCTTAAAAAAAGTCCAGTCATCGCGAATGTCCAAACCAAGGGATTCGAAGTATGCCTCAGCGTTTTAGGGTTGAGGGTTTAGGGTTTAGGCGTCGGCTTTAGAGGCATCTCACGCCAAAGTTGCATACCACTTAAGAATAAGAAGTGTTCACGATCACACATGCCGTATGAACATGCGCCAGCAACGCACATATAACATAGCATGGCATAACATGATACAGCATAGTACAATACAATGCACAGTACAAACAAGATAGCACCACGCAAGAGAAAATAAAATGAGGAAAAAAACAAACGTATTACAGCAGCACATACCTAACGTAATAAAACACCGCATAGCATGCTACGTATGAAATACAAGCCATGATATAACACAATATGAAAACGAAACATGTCATACACTTAAAGACTTAAAGCAAAGACGCAATACACTTGTCTAAAGCACAATGAAGCACAATGAACTCAATTCTGATGTAGTACATTGCACAACGCCAAAAATTGTTCAACCATACATGAAAATTTTGCCATTTCTGTTGTGTACATAGTGCTTCAGGGGCAAAATTCTATATTGGGGTCCTTTTGGGGCGGACGTTAATTTAGAGAACTATTGTATTACGTATAATCATTGTACATTACATGTTATATATTACAAATGCCAAAACCAGCGAACTATGTAACATTTTACTAGTATAAACATTTAGTACAGATTATATTATACGTGAGACGACATACAATGTACAGTTACCTTTCATGCGGAAAAGTATTATACAGATACGCATGCATATGAAGTATCAGTATACCGATCGATGCATATATATATATACATATATATATATATATAGAACGAGAGAGAGAGAGTGTGTGTGTGTGTGTATGTGTGTGTGTGTGTATGTGTGTGTATGTGTGTGTGTGTATGTGTGTGTGTGTGTATGTGTGTGTATGTGTGTGTATGTGTGTGTGTGTGTGTGTGTTCGTTCATGTGTGTGTCAAGTAAGTCTGCGTCTGCATTATTATGACCCATATGAAACGATAGCAGAATAGTTCAGTCTCATCTGTTCAAGAAATCGAGGCCCTAAACCCTAAATCCTAAATCCTAAACCATGGACCCTAAACCCTAAACTGCTCCGGGTTGCCTGGGCTCCGAAAGCTTTAGGGTTTAGGGTTGAAGGGGTTCGGGCCTGGGAGCTCCGAAGGGCCATGAAGCCTACACCTGAAAAAACAAGTAGTTGCTTTGGGTTGAGGTTTAGGGTTTAGGGTTTAGGGTTCAGGGTTCAGGGTTCAGGGTTTAGGGTTTAGGGTTGAGGGTTGAGGGTTGAGGGTTGAGGGTTTAGGAGTTTCGGGTTTAGGGTTTAAGTCGGGTTTAGGGTTTAAGTCTTAAATCAAACCGATTCCTGCTAGGGAGTTCGGGAGGTAGGCAGCATCGACTCCGAGACTAGACCCAAGCGCAACCTAGGAAAAAAAACAGGGTACCCTTTGTAGTTTTTCCAGGGGCCAGTGAGGGAACCTACACCCTAAAAACAGGGAGCCTACCCAGAGTCCTAGGAGACAAGCCACACGCACGGCAGGCTCTTGCACCTTCTCACTGAAGTTCGCATAGGTAATCCCCGCACCCTCAGCTGGTGGACTCCGTTGGGCGGTTTAGGGTTAGGGGTTTAGGGCTTTGGGTTTAGGGTTTAGGGTTGAGGGTTGAGGGTTAACCTTTGAGGGTAAAATTTACACCCTGCAACGGACTTAGTGGCTGGTGTATCTTGGGGAGCTACGTTAGGATCTCGGGTTCCAGAGAATCAGGGTGTCAGTCTAGGGGAAGAACCTTAATCCTCAGGATCCCTGTGCGTACATAGTATATACTTGGGCCTGAAAGAGGTTCCTATATAGTAGCATTAGGTCCCAAGCGTATACCATATCGGTTGGGAGGTTCCCCCTTATACTAGAAGTCCTTAATCGGGTTTCTAGTACCCCCTAGTATACTTCCTATTCAGGACTGTTAGTATAAGGGGGAACATTCCAACATATCGGTACATGGATCCTTAGACTAGGGTGAAGCCTAAACCTACTCAGGGCGTGGAGGCTGCAAGACCTTGCTTTGGCGGGGTGGAGGAGTTGCAGCGGCGAACGTAAAACCCAAAACCCTAAACCCTGAACTCCTAAACTAAGCTCTACAAACAGCATACCCCTAGAACCCCTAAACCCTAAACCCTGCACCCAAAATTAAGCACTGGAAGAAAGGCATACCCCTAAACCCTAAACCCCAAACCCTAAAACCCTTAAACCCAAAGATCCACCTAACCTTGAAGCTCTAGGAGCTGAGTTGAGGCCCGCCATACCCAGGTTCCCCAGCAACTTACTACTAAATACTTGTAAGAACCCCCCTAAACAAAATACCAGTCTTCCTTACAAGCGCACGATAGGGATTATTGTCTTTTATTTTATTCTGTTGGGGGGCGGGGGGGGGGGGAGGGGGTTCTGAAGCAAATTGTAGCCTAGGAGAAGAAAAGCGTACCCGTTGTTGAAGGTTTTGGGTTTCGGGCTTCGGGATGCCAAAACTATAAACGGAAAAGGAATACGGGTACTACCGGGCGCTCTGGTGGCTCTATTCAAGGTTTAACTTGAGAATTGAGGGGGTGCCCGTTTTGGTTGAAGATTTGGGGGTGTAGTGTTCAGGGCTTAGGCGTCAGGGATTCTCGCCGACAGGCCAGGGCTTCGCGTGGAGCGAACAGCTAGCCAGGGGAAGGGGCATCCTAGTCACTGCTGGACCCTAAACCCTAAACCCTAAGCCCTAAACCCTAAACCCTAAACCCTAAACCCTGCACCCTAAACCCTAAACCCTGCACCCTAAACCCTAAACCCTGCACCCTAAACCCTAAACCCTAAACCCTAAACCCTAAACCTCGAAGCTCCAACGAGGCTCGGAGTTGCCGATTTCGCCAAACAGGCCCTCGATGCGCTTCATGTGCGCCTGTCCCGATGCGCGAGGAAATGACATTGAGGTTTAGGGTTTAGGGTTTAGGGTTTAGGGTTTAGGGTTTAGGGTTTAGGGTTTAGGGCTTACGGTTTAGGGGGCTAAGGGGGGTTTAGGGGGCGAAGGGGGCTAAGGGGCTTAAGGGGGTTTAGGGTTTAGGATTCAGGGTGTAGGGGTTCAGGTTGGGATGTTCCCCCTTGAACTATTATAACAGTCCTTCATAGGGATTATAGTACCCCCTATTATAATCTCTGTTAAGGACGGTTAGTATAAGGTCGAACATCCCAAGCTAAGGGGGTTAAGGGGGTTAGGGGGTTTAGGGGGTTTAGGAAGTTTAGGTGGGTTAGGGGGTTTAGGGTTCAGTTCAGGATACAGGGTTTAGCAGCTTAGCAAATAAGGGGGTTAAGGATTTAGGGTTGAGGCTTAAAGGGTTTCAGGGCAGTCATTCGGGTGTATAGGGGAACAAGGATGAGTTAGGCATGCTTGCCTCATTCACTCCCCGCACTTCCCTATTGCCACAAAGTGGCACCGAAAGCATGCTCAGCTTGTGATGCTGGGGTTGCGAGCTTGGCCTTGCCTAGCCCCCCCCCCCCCCCCCCCCCCCCCCCCACCCCCCCCCCCCCCCCCACCCCCCCCCCCCCCCCCCCCCCCCCCCCCACCCCCCCCCCCCCCCCCCCCCCCCCCACCCCCCCCCCCCCCCCACCCCCCCCCCCCCCCCCCCCCCCCCCACCCCCCCCCCCCCCCACCCCCCCCCCCCCCCCCCCACCCCCCCCCCCCCCCCCCACCACCCCCCCCCCCCCCCCACCCCCCCCCCCCCCCCCCCCCACCCCCCCCCCCCCCCCCCCCCCCCCCCACCCCCCCCCCCCCCCCCCCACCCCCCCCCCCCCCCCCCCCCCCCCCCCCCCACCCCCCCCCCCCCCCCCCCCCACCCCCCCCCAAAACATGGCCCTGAACCCTAAACCCTAAACCCGAACCCCTAACCCATAAACCCTAAACCCCAAACTCAAGTCTTCAGGGGTTGAAATCGACCTGGCCTCCTTGTTATCCAACATCGCCTGGACAAGCGTCTGGTCGTCTTTTTGAGCGCTCTCAATCCTGGGTTGCCCAGCAACCATACTGCAAGAAGGGTACCCTGCTTGAAGGGTTTAGGGTTTAGGGTTTAGGGCTAGGGTTTAGAGTACTTAACCAAACACAGGAGAAACAAAAAAGTACCAATTGGACACCAAGAATCGCCCCTTGACAGAAAAATCCGGTAACTACCTGGCGGGATAGAACTTTGGCATGCAGATACCCCCAAAGGGCAAAGCACAAGCGGAGGCCAACAGAAAGACGCAGCCTAAACCCTAAACCCTAAACCCTAAACCCTAGAACTCACATCGGCAGAAGGCTGCCAGACTCTCACACTACCTGAGGGAAAAGGATGGATGGCCACACTGCCCAGAAGCATGGCTACGATACACCCTCGGGATGGGAAGTGGCCCAGAGCTTCTATTGAACAACATACAATCAACGATGGAGGGATTGTTGTTGTGGCAAATCAGGCGTATATATACATATATATATATATATGTATATATGTATTTGTCCATTTATATTTATATATGAATTATATATATATATATATACATATATATATGTATTTATCTATTTATATTTATATTTGAATTTGTACTTATATTCATATTAATAGATAGATAGATAGATATATATATATACATATACAAATGCGTTCAGGGCTTAGAGGTTGGCAGCTGCGATGGCCACCCGCCATACGAGACAACTCAACGCCCACTGACTCTGGCATTCCCACTGCACCAGCCCTAAACCCTAAACCCTAAACCCTAAACCCTAAACCCTAAACCCTAAACCCTAAACCCTAAACCCTAAACTGCAAGCCAAGTGGCATTCAACACCTTGCGGGACATCGATGTTTGTTCTACTCGCACAAGCCGCAGCGCATTGGTCTTCGAACCGACAAAAAAGCGTAACCAAAAGCGCATGCTATTCTAGCCCGGTCTCAGCAAAATAGGTGAAAGCAATATAGAACAGGAATGCAAATGTCCAAACCGGAGATATGAGCTCGAGGGGAAAGAGAAGCTCTTCCCAGTTTGTACCGCCGGCGATGCTCATGAACAAGCTGGTCATTGTCCTGACCGGAACGAAACATCGCCAATTGGGGGAAAAATGGACGTCGCTCAACCTGCTTTGGCTCAAGATACTAATCGTGCTTTGCTGCCAAGCAGGATTTGCGCCACTGCTAAAGACAAACCTCCTAAACCCTAAACCCTAAACCCTAAACCCTAAACCCTAAAGACGTCGGGCTTTGGTCTTGTTGAGCGGGGGATGGCTGGGGCCGACAAGCCACATGCCATGCAGGGGAAAGCATGCCTTCCACTCAGAGTCTCTCATGCACTTCTGCCCTACTGGCTTAGGGTTTAGGGTTTAGGGTTTAGGGTTTAGGGTTTAGGGTTTAGGGTTTAGGGTTTAGGGTTTAGGGTTTAGGGTTTAGGGTTTAGGGTTTAGGCTACAGCCAACCGTTGAGGTGGTGCAGTGCTTATAGGCTCATTTCCTACTGCGGACTATGGGCCTGTGTCACGCCCCTGCAGCCCACTGCTGTCGTAGTCATTTGCAGCTGGGAGGCACTACACTCATCCTAGACCTACCCCGGACCTTAAAATCCAAACACAAGCAAGAACCCACAGATCTTACTAAACCTTGCAACCATTAACCCGAGTTCAAGCTCTTCATGACCGACGCCCCAGCGTACTAGCGGCTACTAGCATACTGCCCAGTGGCCGCCAAAGGGATCCAAAGTAAAGTACGCACGCCTCATGCCTCAGCGCGTGCTTGCTGGGCGTCTAGTTTGGTGTTCAGGGTTTGGGGTTTAGGGTTTATAGGGCTTATATAGGGCTTAGGGCTTAGGGCTTAGGGCTTAGGGCTTAGGGCTTAGGTTAGGGCTTAGGGCTTAGGGTTTAGGGGGTTAGAGGCTTACAGGCTGTATGGGGGCTCATAGTGCTTATAGGTTCTTGTTGCTTTTGGAGTTCGCGCAGATGGCTTTAGGTAGTAGGTTTGGGTCAGCTTCAGCATGAAAAACCATCACACACAAACACACCCTAAACCCTAAAACGCTAAACCCTAAACACAAAGAAGAGGAAAAACTGACATCTCCCCTCACATCCGACCCCCAAGCCCTTAAGCCGGCTAGGCACAAGGCCCTTCGCGTCATCCCCCCAGGTTTAGGGTTTAGGGTTTAGGGTTTGGCGCTTAACCGACCATAAAACCCGAAACCGAAAACACAACACATCTAAAAGCCCGAAAACCTAAACCCGAAACCCTAAAACGAAACACATCTAAACCCTAAACCCTAAACCCTAAACCCTAAACCCTAAACCCTAAACCCTAAACCCTAAACCCTAAACCCTAACAGAACCTTAAGCCCGAAAATTCCCGAATCGAGACATCGCATCCGAGATGCTCCCGCTCTGGGAGTGTGGGAGCCTCCGGGTCCAAAAGGTAGTCGTTTACCTTGGTAGCCCAGCAAAACCATATTCTAATGAGGGTTCAGGGTTTAGGGTTTAGGGTTTAGGGTTTAAGGTTTAGGGTTTAGGGTACTATGTACCGTTTATAGTATGCACTATAAAGGGGCCCTTTGAGGGCGGGTTCCTATATAGTTTCTTGAGGGAACAAATACTAGACCCAAGAGAAGCCGGGGAATTAGCACGGTGCCCGAAAGGGGCTTCTAAAGGAGCCTAAACCCCGAAAACAAGGCACGGAAATAAGGGCCTACTCTCTGGGTCCAAGAGTATAGCAACAAGGGTCCATGTGCCTATACTTGGGCCCTCAAGCTACTACATGGGGAATCTTTAAGGCCCAAGTATGTACCATATAGGTACATGACTGTGTAGAAGAGAACCCAGAACTCCCAAACAGGGTTTATGCTATGGGCTTAGGGCTTAGGGCTTAGGGCTTAGGGCTTAGGGTTTAGGGTTTAGGGCTACCAAGATACGGCCTGACTGAACATCACCGCGAACCTGGGCAAGGGCACCGGATTTAGGGTTTCGGGCTTCGGCTTCGGATTTGAGACCCTAAACCCCAAACCCTAAATCCTAAACCCTAAACCCTAAACCCAGTTGAGTGTTCAGGTTTATATATACAGGGTCTAGGGTCGGACTGTAATGGAGGTTGGGATCGGGCTGGGGCTTGTAAGGTCTCGGAATCCAAAAGGATTCTGCAGCATGTCTTGCTTAGGGTTTAGGGTTTAGGGGTTGAGGGGTTGAGGGGTTTAGGGGTTTAGGGTTCAGGTTTAGAAGGCATCCTTCCTGCTATCCACTAGGGACGAAATACTCCCTCATCTAGATGGCTCTTAAAGTGCCCTCTGAAAAATACTCCTAAATTAGGGTTTAGCGTTTAGGGTTTAGGGTTTAGGGTTTGTCCTCATCTAGACCCGGGAGTAAACTGGGAATAAAAGGGTACCCTTTTTGGTTTTAAGGGGGTTGTAAGGGAGCCCCAACCCTAAAAAAAAGGAAAAAAGGGTTCACTGACCCAAGAGTAAACCATGAACAAAGGGTGCCCTTTTTTGGCTTCAAAGGTGTTGAGAAGAGAACCCTCAAAAGGGGTTAGACAACATCCAAAACGCCCACCTCGCAACTATATATATATATATGGATGCTGTTATTGCTGAGTGTACATACGGTTCCTTATAGACCTTGGTAAGAGTATATATTGGCTGTCCTTTTTCGGGATACTAGTACTTTACACCTTAAAAAAAACGAAACTCCCTCAAGCCCCCCTGAACCCTCAAGTCGAAACCCTAAACCCTAAACCCTTAACCCCTCAACCATCCGGAGTCTGGTTTTGGCCCTGGTTGCCGTTGGCATTTTGGAGCGACACGGGTGGGTGTAGAGTTTAGGGCTTAGGGCTTAGGGCTTAGGGCTTAGGGCTTAGGGTTTAGGGTTTAGGGTTTAGGGTTGGGGTTTAGGGTTTAGGGTTTAGGGTGTAGGGTTTAGGGTTTAGGGTTTAGGGTCTCGTACGGCAGCTATTCAGGGAGGGCGGGTGTGGGCGCGAGAGGTCGATGTACTAAGCTCGATGACCTCACTGTCCTAGATCCTTTCACATCAAACGCATGTCAACAGAATGCCAAAAGTCCAGAAAACTACACCGCAAGACCCTACGCCTCGAAATCATGTACTTGTCTTGAGGGTACGAAGAGGGAACTCAGCAACCCTCAGCCCTAAACCCTAAACCCTAAAGCCTGGAACTCCACTCCCTATGAAGGCTGGACTCACCGGACCAAACGAACCCTGAAATCGGGGTCTGTGAATCCAAGTAAGGCATATGAAGCGCAAACCCTTGTAGGGTTTAGGGTTTAGGGTTTAGGGTTTAGGGTTTAGGGTTCCTTCCTTTGATCCCCAAGAAATTCACGATAGCGGAACTGCAAACATTCCTCGGCGTCTTACATCTCATCTCCAGAAAATCTAGTATAGACCCAAGAGTAAGCCAGGGAAAGAAGGGCAGCCCCTCACCCTAAACCCTAAACCCTAAACCCTAAACCGTAAACCCTAAACCCTAAACCCTAAAAAACCACGCAACCATCGACCCAACACCCTAAAGCACCCCAAACCGAATCACCCCCTGGTTCTTCGTAGGGGACGAGCTTCTTGGCTTAAAGAGCCTAAACTCTGAAACGAGTCGAAGAAGGGCCTACTCTGACTCTGGGTCCTAGCCCTAAACCCTAAACCCTAAACCCTAAAACCCGAAAAAAGGGAACGAGGGCCTACTCTGGGTCCTAGAAACTGAGGCGCAGACACATATATGATAAGCGCCAGGAGCAGCAACGCCCAAACCAGCGCTTTCAGCGTGGACACAATCGATGTCCTAGCTGGGTTTAGGCTTAGGGTTTAGGGTTTAGGGTTTCGGGTTTAGGGTTTAGGGTTTAGGGTTTAAGGTTTAGGGTTTAGTGTTTAGGGTTTAGGGTTCAGGGTTAAAAGGCTTCAGTGCTTTTGAGGTGTTGCATTTTGGGCTTAGGGCACACCTTAAGAACCGTTTTTGGAGCTTCTTCCGCCCTTACAGGATGGTCAGGTAACCTACAAGCTGGGTTCAGGTCGCTTTTAAGGCCCACCCCCACCCCCACTGGCCACCCCCCATCCCCCCCCCCCTCCGACCGACAAGCAACGACGTCACGGTGCAAGCACACGATCCCTAAACCCTAAACCCTAAACCCTAAACCCTAAACCCTAGGCCCTAAACCCTAAACCCTGAACCTTACACTTCAAAACCCGCCAAACTCAAACCTGCGAAACTTAAACCCCAAAGCACTGAGGGTACAGCTTGAAGCTCTTGGTAGCCCAGTAGCCATATTGCACCCTTTTTTGGGTTGGATACCTTATAAGGGAACCCAGAACCAAAAACAAGGGTAAAGGGTACCACTGGGCTACCGAGAGCTCAAAGGCATTGGGGCTTGGGGCTTCAGAGTGCCGCAGCTCTGCACCTCAAAACACCACACCCTCCCCGCCCAAGCTACGGAAACCAAACAAGAAAACACTCTGACACAAAAACCCGAAAATCCTAAATCCCTCTCAACCCTACAAGCCCTAAACCCCTATAAAATCTACAACCCCTAAACCCGAAATAACCGTGAAAAACCTGAAGAAAAACCCCCCTAAACCCTAAACCCTAAACCCACCCTGAGAGCCAGCCAGAGGGCAAGAGAGTCCGCAAAGCTACGACGAAGCGGAAGATGCGAACGAACTGCACCGTTCTCAGGGTTCGCGTCAACCTAGGGTTTAGGGTTTAGGGTTTAGGGTTTAGGGTTCGCGTCAACCTAGGCTCCTCTTGAAAGTCTAGGGCTTCTTAGGGTTTATAAGCAAATACATCCATGTGTGTATGTATGCATATATATATATATATGTATACATATATATATATATATGTAAGCAGAAAAATATAAGCAAACAAATATACAACATAGATTAACACATGCCAAGGAAACATAATGTAACGGAAGAATAGACTAAAACAAATGTAAAATACAAATATGTATGTACGTATGTATGTATGTATGTATACATACATACATACATGCATGCATGCATGCATGCATGCATGCATGCATGTGTGACTCAGGGCTCTTGGGGACAGTTGTGGTAGTGCTATCTGTGGGCAATCTCGCAACCCCCAATGAAGATGTGTCCCTAAACCCTAAACCCTATAAACCCTAAACCCTAAACCCCAAAAAGGCTGGGCCGAGGTGCCGGATGATTCGAAATGCCTTGAGGCTGGACACCCCGCCGACAGAGGCCAGGTCCGACGACTCGGCAGCCTGTGTCACCGCTGGACGCTTAGCTACCCATAGGGTTTAGGGTTTAGGGTTTAGGGTTTAGGGTTTAGGGTTTAGGGTTTAGGGTAAATAAGGAATACATGGGACCCTTTTTACTTACAGTTTAGCCGTAACTGCCCTTAGCTAGTAGGTGTGAACCGTAAAACTGTAGGTAAAGAGTGTCCCAGGTAGACCCAAGAGCAGCCTGTTAGAAGGCTCCAAGGACTCCTGTTTAAGCTTTTTTGGGCTCTTGCCTGATTATTCAAGGTTTTTGGGGCTACTCTGGAGCCCACGGGCTATATAGGAATCAAACGGGTGCCCCTTTCTGGTTTAAAGGTGCGGACAGAGCAGACACTACTTCAAGTTCACGGCACGAGGCCAGCGGTAGTTCGAATTCGAAGCTCGTGGTAACCTTGGGGACCCAAGGAACCCTAAAAGGGTTTATGGTTCATATGCCTTACTAAGAATTATAGTAGGTCTAGGGTATATGACCCCAATTTTAGGGTTCGTTTGGTTGTCAGGGTAGAGCAATTATGATCGAAGCTGGCCCTCAAAACTCTACTGATAGTTTCGGGGGCAGCTCTGGTACCATAACCCTAAACTCTAAACCCTAAACCCTAAACCATGCAGGGTTCAAAGCTCTAGGGTGGCAAATCCGAAACGACCCCTTCTGAACCTGGGAGATTCCATTCAGTAGGTAGAGGAACCCCTCCTGCCACCCCTTTTCGTGCACTAAAACCCTAAACCCTAAACCCTAAACCCTAACCCCTAGAATGCAAAGCACCCGTATAGGCCTATGCTTCAACCCTAGACCCGTAACTCCCTACACAAAGCCATGAACGATATACCCTGTAGTTACTCAAAATTCCCTACCCGAAGCAACAGGGGGGTTTACGATGATATGGGGCCCCTACTATAGACGCCAAAGAGTAGGATCCTTGTAACATGGACCCCAATAAGGTACCCCCTCCCCATACCAATTTCGTAAACCCTAAACCCTAAACCCTGAATCGTAAACCCTAAACCCTAAACCCTAGACGTCTTGCAGCCGAACGTCTTCCACGGCAATCTCCCAAGCCGAACCTGAGAGCCACAACCAGCGCTTATCATAGGATTCCTTATACCCTAAGGGTCCATGTATCCATACAGTTCAGGGTTCAGGGTTCAGGGTTCAGGGTTCAGTGTTCAGGGTTCAGGGTTCAGGGTTTTGGGTTCAGGGTTCAGGGTTCAGGGTTCAGGGTTCAGGGTTCAGGGTTCAGGGTTCAGGGTTTAGGGTTTAGGGTTTAGTAGTATATACTTGGGCCCTAAAGCTACTGTATGGGGACGCCCTCAAAGGCCGGCCCTTTTGGATACTATCCCCTTTAAAGCCTACGGGCCTACACCCTAAGCTCCCCTTCATCTAGGATTGAGGGTTGACCTGGGACCCTATTTTGGGTCTAGGGTTTCGGGTACAGTTTAGTAGTAATACTGCAAAAGCCCGTTGAAGCAGAAGCGGAAGCGGGGCGGGGTGGGGGGGGAGCGGTGGGGGGGGGGGGGGGGGGGGGGGGGGGGGGGGGGGGGGGGGGGGGGGGGGGGGGATTGTCCGGGTTGGGGTTTAGGGTTTAGGGTTAAGCGTTAAGCGTTTAGCGTTTAGGGTTCAGGGATTAGGGTCTAGGGTCTAGGGTCTAGGTTTAGGGTTTAGGGTTTAGGGTTGAAGGTTTAGGGTTTAGGGTTTACTTTGGACACCAGGGAGCTGAGGACGATGAAGACATCCAGGCAGCTCCAATACCAAACGTCCTCTCAGGGGCTCTTGTGACGCATTGCCTGGCTCAACCCTAAACCCTAAACCCTAAACCCCAAACCCTAAACCCTAAACCCTTAGAGTCTTTAGGGGTGAACTGCGGGGCTTAAAGGCCCGTGCGCAGCCCTAAACCTCAAATCCTAAACCCTCGTATAAAGACCTATATATATATATATATATATGGTCCGTTCTCTAACTTCCGGTCCCTTTTGACTTGCCCTCAACACAAGAGGGACCGCCTTATAATCAGGACCCCCCAAAACCAGGGACTGCATCTGTCTTGAGTAGCCTCGCCCAAAGCCTGAACTAAACCCTAAAACCCTAAAACCCTAAACCCTAAAACCCTAAAACCCTAAAACCCTAAAACCCTAAAACCCTGAAACCCTAAAACCCTAAAACCCTAAAACCCTAAAACCCTAAAACCCTAAACCCTAAACCCTAAACCCTAAACCCTAGGAGTCGTAGTCCACAAGCTGTCCGTGCAGAAGTTCTTTCGTAAGCCGGTGGCGAGCACGCGAAGGCAGATCTCCGAAGTGAACCTGCTCTTAAGCAGGTTCAGGGTTTAGGGTTTAGGGTTTAGGGTTTGGGGTTTAGGGTTTAGGGTTTAGGGTTTAGGGTTTAGGGACAGGGCGGCTACAGGGAGGGGCCGCCAGCAAGTTATGAGCTATGAGTAGACTTGCACGGGCCCTAGCTTAACCTGGGTTGTGTCCCCAAAGCTATAGTTGGCATTGGGCTGAAGCACCCCTCTTTTCCCTCACAAAGAGATACGAACGGGCACATCTCAATCACCCAAAGCGAACAACTTCAAAGAAAAACATCGCAAGCCCCACCTGAATTTTGAACTACATGATCTTACATGGAGGGGTTCCCACAAGAAATAAGTAGAGGCCATACGGTAGAAGGGCCCTAGATTGGGTCCTAAAACCTAAACCCCAAACCCTAAACCCCCCAACACCCTAAACCCTAAACCCTAAACCCCCAAAACCCAAAACCCAAAACCCTAAACCCTTGGACTCTGCGTCCACTCGCTCAGGCCCTAACCCATACACCCTCACTCCGACAACACCCTAGCTAGGGTGGCCCTTACAACCCTCTGAAAAACAGCTTAGGGTTTAGGGTTTAGGGTTTATTCCTCAATGTGATTTTGGCAAGCACAGCTGAACAAAGCTCAAGGGGTGTGGGTCTGGGTCACCACCCTTTCTCGCAAAACCCCTCTGCTGGTATCGCCCGAGGAACAGGAAGGTGTACCTCAAAGTGGAAAGGCACGTCTCTTTCTTTTTGTTGGTCTCACGTTCCGGTTTCAGTCAAAGATGCAGCCAATTTTTGGTTCAAGGGGGCTGCAGAAGAGGCACGAAATCCCAAGGAAAGAGGCCAAGGGGAGGTCGTTCGTCTGCTCTGGGCCGGATTACATACGCGTAGCCAGGAGCAGGTGTCCATGCTGAATATCCCGCAACAAAGGCCTTGGCCCTCTAAACCCTACCACTAGGGTGTTGGGCATAGGGGGCGTAAAACTCCCCTAAATGCCCTAAACCTCCAAAACACCCTCAAACTTGGGATGTTGCTCCTTGTACTAACAGTTCTTGATAGAGATTAAATAAAGTACCCCATACTATAATATTTATTAAGGACTGTTAGCATAAGCGGGCAACATCCCAACCTAAAAGCCCCTTCTTAGTTGCTGAGTTCATAAGCCCCCAAAAAAGTGTACACTGTCAGTTCTAAAGAGGCATTTAGTCTCCCAAGAAGTGTAAAGTGTACTCATTCCGTTACTAAGTCCTAATGGTGCCTGGGACGCCAACCCAAAGAGTCGTGTGGGCTTGTGGGTTTACGGTTTAGGGTTTAAGGCTTAGGGTTTAGGGTGTAGGGTTGATATCAAAGTAGGATTGCATCTGAGCAACTCTTGAAAAAGCCTTCCACAATTTTTGAGTGGGCTGTGTGCCCCTTACAGAGGACCACGGGACCGCGGGGGCACGGGACCGCGGACGAAGGGGATCAGAGGACCAGGGGACCAAGGGGGCCGAGCCACACCTTTGAAAAAAAAAAGTGAGCCACACAGCAACAAACCCGGCCACCCATACCCTAAACCCCAAGACACCTCCAGAGCTGATTCCCGGAACCCCTACAGCAGGGGCGTAGGATTTAGGGTTTAGGCTCGGCTTTCGGGTTTGGGGCGTATACACTAAACCCTAAACCCTAAACCCTAAACCGGGAAAATCTGACATGTCGCAAGGGCCTACCGAGCAGGGTCTTAACAGCAGCTCTGGTGCGTGTAATGGATGAGCTGGAACGCAAGAGGCCGCCACCCGGGATACGAAATGCTGGCTTGCACCTGGGTTTAGGGTTTAGGGTTTAGGGTGAAGGGCCGTAGCACTCAGCCTTGTAGCCTATACCTGGGACCCTCCTTTACCCTTATACCGACTAGTTAAGGGCAGTTAACTGTAGGTAAATAGGGTCCCAGGTATAGCCTTTCAACAGCTCGAAACCTAACCCCTATAAATAAACTGTTCATCCCTAAACCCGCAACCCGGAACAGTAGTACCCTAAACCCGAACACTCGAATCAAGAAGCTTCAGGCCCCCAAAGCCGCATAACTGGATTAGGGTTTAGGGCCTAGGGTTCAGGGTTTAGGTGGTTCAGGTTATTATGGCAGTTGATCGCAATCCCTACATGTCCCGGCTCAAACCAGAGGAACCCGAAACGCTTTCCAGAAAGACCCGTTTGCAACAAAGGAGTTTAGACCTATACTCCCATTAGAACCTTAATGAAAATAGCATAACAACACTAAGTATTGTTAATACCCTCTTGGGTTTATATAGACAAACATTAAAGAAATAACTCCCAAGGGGGATATAGAGACCGTAAGCCGCAGGGATGGGCTCTTTTGGGTTTGGACCTCAGGGCGTTGGGGCCGCCGTCCTAGTTCGCCAACCCACCTCTCCTAGACCCAAGAGTAACCTAGGAATGTGCAGCGGGGGTAGCTGCAATGGAGCGTATCGGGCTTCCACACAAAGGGGTCAGCGGTTCAACCAAACCAGCAGACGTGCACAACGCACGGGATGTTTTCACGGTGCTCCACGCACGCGTAACGATGGCTCAGTTCAGCCAACATCCAAAAGGGGCCCCTTCAGATGAGCCTATAGCAACGGTCATGCTGCTGATCAACCAGACCTAAATCATACCTGTTGCACCAACCCCAAAAAAGGTCAGCAGCATCACAGGTTGCATCGTCAAGAGGGGCCGCTAAGTGCTTTTGCACTGTTCCTACAGCAGAGCGTCCAGCACGTTTGCTCTTCTTAGCAGACGTGAATGAGGGGTCGTACTTTATACACCAATGCCCTGTTCTCAGGAACTGTAGCAAACCTTCACGGCAATCAGCTCGCTTCTTCGTGAGGGCGTCCGCCAAGTCGTAGTCGCTTGCCAGCCATCTCAATTCGCAGGCTGCACGTTGGAGGTTTCCACGAAGTTGGAAAGCTTGCAATGCCGCTCTCATGTTCGACAGTCCCAGCAATGGGCTCTCATTCACCTCCACCGCATCGTAACCGCCCTTGCTGTCGGTGCACAGGATGCCCTTGATGCCCAAGATCTGCTTCTCCACGACTTCCACGAGATCTTGCCGCAGGGGACGTTCAGCATCTGGTCCTGCTGCACCATGAAGTTCAGACCACAAGAGCCTTGCTCGGAAATTGTGGTCTTCCGCCTCCAAGATGGACTGGACCTCTGCATCGTTGCTCCCGATGGCCTTCCGCTTCAGTTTCCATGTTCGCCACCCAATCAGGGACATGGGGCACACACATCCAGTGACGCTCTCTGGGCCGGAGATGAGGGTCACCAATCCGCCCGTTGAGTCTCCCTTTGGCCGATTCGCATGAGCCTGGTCGCCCATGGATATGAAGACCACATCACGCCAGTGCTTTGCCTTCGGAAACTTCTGAAACGTCAAGGTGAAGGGCTCGTTCCGAGTCTCGGAGATCAGCTGCTGAATCTCCCTCGCGGTCTCCATGGTTCCATGCGTCACCAGATCGGTCAACAGCAGATTGCATCGTGCACATACTTGAGGTTGCGATTGCACGGCCACCCATTGTAGCGCGCCCAGAGATGCCCTGCAAGCCTCTATGTCCTTCTTGCAGAGAACCTCGTTGGAACGTAGACGATCCGGTTCGATGTCCACATCCATGAGGCCTTCGATGTAGTAGCCTTGATCCACCACAATCTTATTGAAGCCGTTCTCGTCTTTCTTGGTGGTGACGTCGGTGCCAGCATGGCGATACGATCCTGTTTTGGTCATTCCCCACTTGTAGGCCTTGTTGATCTTCTCCTTAATCTCCAGCCATTCAGGGGAGTTGTCGCCAATACGATGGAAATCATCAACATGTCCGCCCATGGCGCCGATCACCTTGGCATGTTCTCCATCGCGGTGTAGTTTTGACAACCATATCCACAGGCACCGTTCTCCAAGGACAGGCTGAGCACCCAGGCTGACCAACATCTTGTGCAATGACAGCCATAACCCCCTCGGCGCCGTCGTGCTGCCATAGATGTTCCGAAGTACGCGCATCACGCCCTCGGACCCAATACCCAAGGCATCTCTGAGTTCTTGAACACCAGTCGTCCACAACTCCTGGTCGGCCTCGGTGGGTTGAGTCTGGAGGAAAGCCGTCGCCAGGTCCAAGCCTTCTAGGTCCCACTGCGAGTCTGCTGCCATAGCATACAGGAGATTCCTTCCCAGCATGGACTGCACAGGGCTCGCAGTCTTGAATGTGGGATCCAGCAAACTGGGATGTTGAAATCCAAGAAGCACAATCCTGGCCTTGGCCTTCTTCAACCCATCACTGGTATGTACCGACTGTGGGTTCTCGTGACTGTCGCGTACTGCTTCTTCTTGGTCTTCAGGTGGCACCAGCTTCCATGTCAGGACCCATCGTGCCTTGACTATCCTCTTGGAATCCACCGCTCGGCGCACCTCCTCGTCGTTCAAGCACTTGCGCACTGCCTCATTCTGGATGAACGACGATACTTCCTTGGTTTTGGCTCGGTTGAACAACTTCTTCTCCCCTTCAGGCAATCGAGCCATCACCACCTCTGAATCCTTCATCTTCTTCACTAGGTACATCACGGGATCACGCTCCAGGAACCTGCGTTGCCGGTTCGACTGCGGTGGTTCAAGATCGAATTCAATCTTCATGAACTCTTCGGTTTCCTGGAAGGCCGAGAAGATGTCGATGGTGTCTTGGGGCTCCTCGGTTGCGGTGTAGAGCTCTTCCACCCATGTGAGTTCGGCTTTATGCTTCTTTGGCTCCGAGCCCTCGTAGTCGTTGACGGTCTCTTCCAAGGGTCGTGTTGGTGTAGTAGATGACGTAGCCGCTGGGGTTGTACCCCCTTCTGCGGATGAAGAAGCCGTGATCGTAGTTTTTCGAGAGACCCTTCTCGTCGGCATCACTAAGGTACTGGAATCCGGAGCCTTGGGTAGTTCCGGCAGTTCCACTTCATCTTCTTGTGGAGCCTGGTCGACAATGTCATGATACTCGCGGCGAGGTAGAACATCAGCCAGCGTTCTCCACGTGGATGATCGATCCTCCCCGGAGGTCTCATACTGGAAGCGCTCCGTCTCAGTCACTGGCCTCACCGAGTGCACTGAGCACCTCAGCAATTGTGATCCCACCAGGACCCAGACTACATGTCGACGATCATCGGAGTGATCTTGGTGAGGTAGTACTTCATGGAACACCACTCTGCCAGGTCCTATCCAGTGGGGCCTTCCCGATTTCTTGAAGCCTCCCCTTGGCCCCTTGAACTGGTGTTGAGGCCAAACCTTGCGCCACACCTTCACCAGGTCCATGGGAGCAAACTGTCGTACAGGTTGCCTCACCGTTGTGTTGCCAAGCTTGGAGAGCACACGCTTTGCCCTCGAACTCCTCGCAATCTCTTCCGCCTTGCGGCGCGCTTGCACAAGCCTGACAAACTCATCCTGGTAGTTGGCGGTCTCGAAGGTCCGAACGTCTTCGTCCGTCAGGGAGTATTCCCGGCCAAAAGCCCACTGGTATGAGGTGAATCCAGCGGTGTACTCCGTTGCATTCAATGCCGAGGCAGCGAGGATCAACGTCAACTGCAAGGCCTGTTCTTGATCCTCCAAGTAAATGGCCGACGCAGTCATCTTCAAGTCCTGGACACCAGCTTCCAAAGTGCCATGCGCCCATGGTTCCTTTTCTGCCACGTAGGAAAGCTGTATGTTCACATTGCTGGCGTAGTCATGCACCGCTTCAGACACGAAGCTCTTGGCGGCATCCAGTACCAGCACCTTCGGCTTTGGGAAGTTGGCGAGCCACTTGTCCGTGAAGCTGCGAACAAAGTCCTCCCCAGATTCGGCTTTCATCTCCAGGAAGTCGTACACGAACAACGGCTGCACCACTCTCAACTTCGTCGCAAGGTCCATGAAGAGGAGAAACTTCACTTTCTTCTTGCCACCAGGTGGTATCCATTCGCCAGAATCCACGCCAACAGCTTCCCAAGCACCGTACATCGCATGTGTGGACGCTGGGGGTACCTGTCCACTGCTTGTTCCACCAACCTTGAGGCTTGCGCAAGAGGGGCAGTAGTGCTCAAGGGCTGCCTTCACTTTCCATTCGGGATGTCCAGCGTCCTTCACGATCTTCGCCAGGTTCCTATTGATCGGATGGCCCGCTGCCTTGTGGAACTTTGCAATCTGCGCCTGCCACTGCTCGCGAGCCGCTGTCGGAACTTCTTCGTCATCTTCATCCTTGCTTCCCTGCTCTGGTTCTTTGATGTTCGTTGCGGCAGGGCACATCATCAAGCACTTGTCGTTGAGGGGAAATTGGAGTACATGACGAGGTAGCTCTGTTGTTGTGGTCTCCAGCGGAAAGCAAAGCTTCTTGAGCTGGCTCAGGTCCTCGGTTGACATTCTCGGCAGCAATCGGGTGGTGAAGGCAGTGATGGATATCCGACATCCTGTCCACGCTTGGGTAGCGTGAGTGCAGCTTGGATCAAAGGCCACAAACTGACCGTTGAGCGGCACGACAAAGCCTGTCACCATCGAGCCATTGGGCAACTGTCGCTTGACGGCGGTATAGCCGCAAGGAGGTTGTCCCTCAAGCCAAACTCCTCCCTTGTCGAAATTGCCCAACCCGTGGATGTAGTTGGTCGAGTTCTTGAGGTTGTGGTGGTCTCGATGAGGACCGGTCTTGCCGTTCACGGTCAGGGATATACTGGACCAGGAAAGTCCCGGAAGCCAGTGTCGAAGATATGAATTGAGAAAACGGTTCAGTTCTGGGAATTTGAGTGAACTGCGAGTCACTCCAGAAAAGGCTCCATGGGAGTAAGCTCCCAAAAGAATACGGAAAGGAGGCTGTTGGGGCCATCTCGAATTAGCCCTCGTCTCTGCTGCAGCTTTCGCTGCAACCTCCATCACGATGTTTTCGCAGCTGTTCTTGTCAAATCGTTCTCGAAGTCGTGCTTCCCGGGCCAGCGCCTCCAAGCTGATCCGTTCCGACTCACACATCTGCATCTCGTACTCATCTGCGACATCCGTTGGTGGCTCCTGTTCGTCCCATTCACGGAGGATGAAGTTCGCCTCCTCATCGTCATCACGATCAGGTAGATGGGAAAGTTCATCACGGCATTGGAGTAGGTGAACATGTCGTACAGGAGCCGTGCGATCTCGCCAATGTCGCGCAATGGCCTGCACCATCCGCCATGGATAGTACGCAGTCTTCGAGGTTTCTGTTCCCTCGATGTGGCAGTGTTGTCCATGGTTTCCAGGACACACCTTGGCGCGGAAGTACTTGTGGAAGTCCTCGTCCGTGGTCTTGACCATCCACTGCTTCTTGATGAACTGCTGCGTCTGCTCGTTGCGAAGGCCATAGTTGCAGCCATCGATTCTGCATGACAACCACGGCACTCCCACCTCTTCCATGTGTTGCGCCAGGTCCTCCATGGGCATTTGTCGCCATCCATAACATGGCCACGGCCACTCGAAGTAGATCATCACCTCGGGGTCTTCTTCAATCGTCTCCTTGATGAAGGCATTGGTCTCCCACAGCAATCGACGTTCCTTTCTGCGCGCGGCTTCCAACTTCACCTTCTTCTCCGGGGTGTTGTAGTTCACGGACGTCCACGCACACCACTTCGTGCAAGGAAGACTGAACCACAGCCGTTTGGGACGTCGCTTCCGTCGTAGTTCACGAAGATGTTGCCAGGTCTCCGGCTGGTACAGGTCGTAGCCGTTGGTCAGATTCACGCGGTAGGCCTTGATGCCATGTTCCTCCGCCGCCATGCTCAGCCAACTGTGGGGAGCACAAGCGATCTCCCACAATCCGTCACGATCATGCTGATGCAATCCAACCAACAGGTTCATCGTGGTGGTCAGGAGAAGACCTGATAGTGCCATCACCTTCTTCCCGATGAAGTGCGGCAACTCCTTCACCGGCTCCTGTTTCGCTCCTTCTACTCGCCGTAGGCCTCGTTCTCGTAGGCCGTCACCAGCTCCTCGTCGTCGTCCGGTACTTGCACTGCGTCCCATCCGGATGACGTTGCCGTGGGTGATGTTGGCACCGCTGTCGAGGGCGTCGCGGTGCTCATGTTCTTGACGTCCATGATGGCCTTGCGTAGCACCTCCTCTGCATTGATCTTGGCCAGCATGTGACGACAGATCTGCGCGGTGGGCATGCAATCGCCCATCAAGGGCTGGAGCTCGGCCAACATTCGCTTGATCATTCCAGGGTTCTCCGCCATGGTGTGCTGCGCTGGAGATCCCTCTCGAGGCGTGTAGAGCATCCTCACATTGCACGTTGAGCACACTACCCATTCGCCGTGGGCATTCGCCTGGGGGGCACTTGCGGTGTGGCGTCCCATGCACGGCCACTGCTTGCGTTGAGCGCGCGGATCCCTGGGGTCCATCTTCATCACGCGGTTGCGATCTAGGGGCTTGACCTTGGTCTTCGCCTGAGCAGCCTTGGCCTTGGCCGCTGCCACCAACACGCTCTCCACCTCTGGGTCCACGGTCACGCGGCGGCTGGTCGCCATGAGGAAAAGTCCGCGAAGGGGAAGTTGAGGGTTCGACGGCGGCAACAGTATGCCTGCACATCTGAGCTGAAATCGCTGCTGTCGAGGTCCGAGAGTGATGGTACAACTGCCACATGCGTTCTTCTGAGCGACTGTCGGAGCAGATGGGAAGGATTTCCTCACTAGCAGCTAAGTCAAACCACACAACACCTAGCTCCAGCACGGTGTGAGTTTCAAGCGGCTTGCTTGCTTTGGCTCCAGCTCGGACAAGAACATGGGGCTGTCCCACATCACATCTCTTCCCTTCCGTTAGATACTGAACGATGTCCAAGGTGAAGTGCCCTTTGTGATTTGCCTTCAAGGGGAAGATCTGGGGTTGGGAATCGCACGTGAACATAGCATTCCCGGTGGCAAAGTCAATCATCATGCCGGCACCATTACAACCCAAGAAGTCCATGCCAATCAACACGGGAACCAAGGACGACTGCTCAAACCCATTCTGGTAGTACTCGGAGGGGTTGGGAAGCGTGTAGATGGAGAAGGTTCTTGGGCTACCAGACACACTGCTCTTAAGGTGTACTCGACAAAGAGCTCGACCCCACCGACCATTCCCAAACCGAAAGTATGGCCTCGCTCCTTGGTCCAGTTCGATCTTCGCATTGCGATCGTGAGACAACACCGCCTGGATCAGGCCCTGCACAACAGCATCAGGAGCCGCCGACGCAGTTGCGCCGCAGTCCAGCATGCCTATCTGCGGTGTGGGCTCAGGCTTGGTGGCCTCCGATGTCTGCGCCTCCAGGACCTCAGTGAGTTCCAGGCCACCCACGAACATGTCGGTGACGTAGGCGTTGACGGGTCGATAGCCATCCTTCCCCTTGCTAGGCTTCCCCTTGGAACGTCCTTTCCACATGGCCTGCACCTCGGACCACATGCCCTTCTTGCCCTTGCCCTTGGGCTTGCCGTTCTTGTTCATGTAGTAGTTCTCCTGCCAGTGGTCGCCGTCCTCGGGGTGCAGGTAGTAGGCTCCCTTCTTGCCATAGCCTTTACCCATGCCATAGCCAGGATGCCGTCGATCAGGGCAATCTCGAACCATATGGTTGCCTCCACACTGGAAGCACTTCGTGGGGCCACCGAACCCACGATCCTTCCGAAGGGCCTGTGTGGCCCGCTGAGCATCTGCCCAAGTTCTCTGCGCTTCGACCGCGAGGCTCTCCGCGATCTTCTCCGCCTTCTGGGCCTCCTGAACCTTGGGATCCTCTTCAGCAGCAACCACAGGTAGAGCCTCGGGCTCCCAGTGGTTGGAGTCTCCGGTCCACCAATCTTCACTCCAATGATCAGGTCCGGCGTAGAAGTGCTCATTCCACCATGCGTTGTTCCACCACCAGTCGTCTAGCTCCTCGTAGTAGACCTCGTTCGGCTCGATCGACGTCTGGTCAGCAAGGTGGGCATTCAAGTGACCGGAGCTTCCATGGTGGCGATGGCCCAAAAGCTGATCATCCCACAGATTCTGCAATGCACCGGAGATCACCTCGTAGTCCAAGGAATTCTTGGTCGCCGACAAGATGTCCCTCTTTTCTTCTGCCGACAATCCGGCGGCTTGAAGGAGCCGCCAACCACGAAGAACTCCCATGATGAACGAGTCCGTCACCGTCATCTCATTCACTGGGCTGGCATTCACTTGATCTGTTTCATGTTGGGGACGAGGACGTCCTCCCGGTGTTCGCTCACCGGCCGAGCGACTCGGCGACGAGCCAGGGGCTGCAGACGTCGTGCCCCGGGCAGGTGTTCCCGGAGGTTGGGGATCGTCAGGTCGTTCTTCAGCACGTGGACGGGCTTCGCCTCCTTCACCTTCGGCTTCAGCTGAATCGTCGCCTCGATCGCCCACGCGGTCGGTGTCCAAGTAGTCCTCGTCGTGGTCCCACCAGCTCCAAGCGCCTTGCCACTCCTCATCATCCCATTCCTCCGCCGGGGGCAAACCAAAGTCTCGCTGCTCCTGACTGATGCCCTCTTTCTCTTCATGAAGACGGATGATGGCCTCCACAAACTCCTCGTGGACCAAGGTCTCCCTCACCAAGAAGTTGCCGATCGTCTCTCCTTGGTTCCGCTTGAAGGAGAAATACTGCTGGCAGATTGCCGCAGCATTCGGCAGCGACTTCCGAACCAACGGTGAGCTCGCCAAGCGCTGTAGCATCACCTTCACGCCATCCTTGGAGTCCAGCACCAGCGTAGACCAACTCATCGCCAGGAGTCGAGCCGGGCCCGTGAGCTTGCTTAACAGCTGGGCTCCGCAGTAGCGTCGCTTATGCACAGGCACTGATTGCACCCACCAGGCCACCTCACGGGTGTACCGTCGCCAAGATCTGGCAGCGCCATCCCATGAGGGCACCGAGGTCCGGTCTCGCGCATCAGCCATGGAAAAAGGGGCGTCTGCACAGCTTCACTGTCAAACACCACGAAGAAAAGTTCGGAGAAAACCGCCCAAGGGAACTCGGACGGGAGGCCGTTGATCGGGTAGAGGCACACGTTGTCGGGGTGGTGGATCAAGGCCAAGTAGCTGGTGGTTTTGGAGCACGGCCCTGAGATCAGCACGTGCTCCGCTACCAATGCAGCGGGGGTAGCTGCAATGGAGCGTATCGGGCTTCCACACAAAGGGGTCAGCGGTTCAACCAAACCAGCAGACGTGCACAACGCACGGGATGTTTTCACGGTGCTCCACGCACGCGTAACGATGGCTCAGTTCAGCCAACATCCAAAAGGGGCCCCTTCAGATGAGCCTATAGCAACGGTCATGCTGCTGATCAACCAGACCTAAATCATACCTGTTGCAGAATGACAAGGGGTGCCCCTTTCTGGTTCTAAAAGGGCCTTAGAAGGGGACCGAACCCCCTAAAAAAGAAAAAAATCCTAGCCTGGGTCCTGCTGATGAATTTCTTTGCTACATTTGGGTGTAGGGTTTTGGGTTTAGGGCTTTAGGGGTTTCCCCTGAATCCCAAACCCTCATCTTCCACGGTGGCCTCGACTCCGATAAACACAGCGTTGGTGAACACCACCTGAGCTAGAGATTTTTAGTGGGGGTTTACGAACATAGGGGGCCCTAAGATAGAACCCCAAATAGTAGGATCCTCTTAATTATAAGGAGCCCAAGAAGGTACCCCTAATATCGTAAACCACCATTTCGGGCTCAAGGTTTCGAACGGGGTTGGTTGAGGCAGGCCCGAAGAACAGGAGTCACAAAGACGCAATCTCCTTCATTCCATTGGCCTACTTCCTCCCTCCAATAATAAAGCCCGACACCCTGGTGTCTAAGACCCCGAGAACCAAGATTTCAGGGTTTAGGGTTTCGGGGTAGAGGCGCCGGCTGTTGGGGTTTTGGGTTTAGGGTTTAGGGTTTAGGGTTTAGGGAATCAGAACTTCGTACGTTCAGGGGGGCTCCTGGTTTCCTCAGCTTGGACCATCATGACAACCTACATACCCCAAAACTCTCACCCCCCACCCTAAACTTTGAACTCGCAGCTATCCGAAGCACCCTTACTCCAAAAGCACGGGGCTCCGCAAGCTTCAGTAGAGAGCTTTTGGGGCTTAGGGCTTAGCACCCTAAACCCTAAACCCTATACACCTTAAAACTCTAAAACCCCAAACCCTAACCCTAAACCCTAAACCCTAAACCCTAAAACCCTAAACCTAAAGCCCTAAAAACCCTAAACCCTAACACCCTACACCCCAAACCCTGCTAAATCGCCCCAACCCCCCAATGCTCTGATGAGGAGAGTAGCGCAGGCGAAGAACATCCTGGGCGTCGCGTGCTCGGGGGGACTGCTTCATATTAAGGGGGTTTAGGGTTTAGGGTTCAGGGTTCAGGGGGTTTCCCAAATTCGGGGTACCTTATTTGGGGTCCTTATACATTGAACCCAAGCAGGGAAATTAAGGGCCACAAGGAGGGCCCCTGGAATGGACCTGTCATCATATTCCGCTATACAACTCCCATTTCTACCTTTTGTAGCCCCCTTTTTTCTCCTAAGTAGCCCCTAATAAACCTCTGAGGTCCCTTAGAAGGGTCCCTCCGGTCGTTCCTTGATCATAGTCGGCAATGGGGCAACGTAAGGTTTAGGGTTTAGGGTTTAGGGTTTAGGGTTTAGGGTTTAGGGTTTAGGGTTTAGGGTTTAGGGTTTAGGGTTTAGGGTTTAGGGTTTAGGGTTTAGGGTTTAGGGGATTTCCAAGGCTTGGAACCTCAAAATACACACCCTACAGGGCTTAGGGTTCGGGCTAAAAACCCTAAACCCTCAACCTCTAACCCCACACCATAGGGTGGAAGGGTTGCACAGGTTTAGAGTTGAGCGTGTTTAGGGTTAAGGGTTACAATAAAAGGGTTGCACTGTTGGGGAGCTAAAGGTACATAGATGTTGCTATCGCAAAAGGGCTTTGTGTGTAGTGCTCGCAAGTAAATTCCCTTTTGGTGTCCTTGTATAAGGTGCCGTACTATATAGAGACCCCGGTAAAAGAAAACTAACTTTGAGAACTAGCCACATAGCGAACCTTCTGTATAGGGTACCCTGAATCCTAAACCGGACCCTGAACCCCAAACCCCCCAAACCCCCCAAATCCCCCAAACCCCTACAAACCCTAAACCCTAAACCCTACAAAGCCTGTACATGACACCTACTTTGGGCCATTTGGCGCCTTGGGAGTTCAGGTCCCTCCATGAACCCAGAAGCCCTCATTGCTGTACGAAGCTGGCGATTGGGTCTAGGGTCTAGGGTCTAGGGTCTAGGGTCTAGGGTTTAGGGTTTAGGGTTTAGGGTTTAGGGTTTAGGGAGAATGGCAGGTGCCAGACTTGGTCTACAACCAGCCGCAGCACGCTTCCTAAGCCCTAAACCGCAAACCCGAAACCCGAAACCCGAAACCCGAAACCCTAAACCCTAAACCCTAAACCCTAAACCCTAAACCCTAAACCCAAGTCTTCGTCTCTTTTTTGCGACGCCCTCGGGGGGAGAGTTGGCGGATGGTCAACCTTGCTGAACTCTGACTGGTTCAGCCCGCAGAGGAGCCTGGATGCCTTGCAGCAGCCCGACGACGCCCTCTGAAGACCCTTTCATGGTAGCTCAATGTTTTTTTCTTTTTCGGTTTAAGGTTTAGGGTCTAGGGTTTAGGGTTTAGGGTCTAATCTTCTTGGCTTGTAAGGTCTTAGAATCTTAGAAGAAATCTATAGGTACCCCCCTCCCACCAGGGCCAGGAAAGAAATACAATTGAGGGCCTGGGAATAAATAATTGAGACGAGGCAAAAGCATCGACTGTACACTGTACATTGCTGATGCTTCCTTGACTCTCGCCTCCATGGCTCGTCCGAATCACCTAAACCCTAAACCCCTAAACCACAAACCCTGATACCCGCCAAAAAACTCAGCCACCCGGTTAAAAAGGCCCTCTTGACGCAAACCCTAATTCCCACAATACCCCTCAACCCTAGACCCGATCACCCTCAATCCTTCAAAACCTTCAACCCTCAACCGTCAACCCTAAACCGTCCTGAACCACCCTAAGCGCTACCTAAAGGCTCCTCTGAAGTCGAGTACTGTACTAGAATCAGGGTTTAAAGGGTTTAGGGTTTAGGGCTAGCTAACCCCAAAAAGGAACGACGTTGGAGCCTTCAGGTAAGCACTAATCAGATGTAGAAGTCCACGCTCATGTCTGGCTTCGTGGCCCTGCGGCCGCGATCCTTCCGTGGGCTTGCGGCTTCCTTGGGGCGGCTGCGGCGCTGCTCCCACTTCCGGCGCCTCACCTCTGAATCTGCATTAGGGGTAGTTTGCATTCTACACCCCTAGTCTCCTAAACCCTAGACCCTAAACCCTGAACGCTGAACCCTGAAACCTCAACCACCCCAAGCATATACCCTATGAACAACTTCAGAACCTTTAAAAGATTTTGGGCCTTGTAAGTAGGTTTATCCTAGATCCCTGGATGGGAGGATCTCAGATCCCCCTGAGATCTGGGACCCCTAAGGCCTGTAAGCCCTAAACCGGTTTAGGGTTTAGGGTTTAGGGGGTACCATCTCTTGATCTATTCCAGGCTTGTCCTAGACACCGCCGCTCCCAAACTACCCCTCATAGCCCCAGTGCAGTACCTGCAGGCCTGTTTGAGGTGCCATGAGGCGCTTATTGAGGAGTTTAGGGCTTAGGGTTACATGAAACACCCCTGGTATATACCCTATGAACAACTTCAGAACCTTTTAGAGAAGTTAGGGACTATATTTAAATTTAAGGGCCGATTTGGGGGTTCAGGGGCCCCAAACCCTAAACCCTATACCAGGAGCGGCGCAGGGTGCTCTATGTTTGATATATCTAGTTACGAGGACCCACTGTTTCTGAAGGGTGTAGGGTTTAGGGCTAAGGGCTAAGGGGTTAAAAGGGGCTCTCTGAGGAAACGAAAGCATAAAAAACAAGGAGTCCAAGGCGTGTTTAGATTCTGGGCTCTGGTTGCAAACTGAGCGTGTTAGGGTTTAGGGTTTAGGGTTTAGGGTTTAGGGTTTAGGGTTTAGGGTTTAGGGGCGGTTGCATTCATGCAGCCGGCGGGCAAGGCGAGGACAGTCCGCCTCCATGTGCTCGTCCAAGCTGCCGTTACGAAGCTGCCGCCTAGTTTGGGGTTTAGGGTTTAGGGCTACTATAGGGGCCTTAATCATTAGAATAGGGTTTGGGGGGTTCTTATAGTATACTTCTGTAGGGAATACCATTTCAAATTACCCGACCCCTATAGTAGACCCAAGAGTAGCCCAGGAAAAAACAGGTGCCCTTCAAAGGGGCTTCAAAAATACCCTAGACTCTGGAATCCCTAGAAAAAAAGGGAATAAGGGCCTGCTCTGGGGTCCTAGCCCTGAACCCTAAACCTAACCCCAAAACCCTAAACCCTACTCTGGGCTCCGAGCTGCAGGAGCACCTCACGCTCCCAAGCGTACCAGCCCCAGTCCTCTGAGTCCCAGCCAAAGAGAAGGCGGGCTTCCTCCTCCAGCTTAGGGTTTAGGGTTTAGGGTTCAGGGTTCAGGGTTCAGGGTTCAGGGTTTAGGGTTTAGGGTTTAGGGTTTAGGGTTTAGGGTAAACAAGCGTAAACCGTTAGGGCTTGGGGTTTGGGAGCTTCAGGGAATCGGATGGCGCCCTACTGTTGGGCTTGCGGGAGAGGGGGCGGGATAGTGCTTTATGTAGGGGAACCTGGAAACCCTCAAACAAGGGGTACCACTGGGCTGCCACAGGATCAGGATGAGCCCCGTTAGGATTTGTAGCGTGATTCTTCTGATGCGCTTCTTCTTCTTCTTCTGATGCGCATCGCTGCGTCGTGTACTAGCTGTTCCACAACTGCCCCAGCGCTCCTCCGTGTAGAAGTCCTTGTTCCTGGGTTGCCCATTGAAACCCTACGAAGAGTGCGCCTAAGCTAACCCGCTAACACCCAAATAACAGAAAGCACAAAATTACCATTTGCTTAAGAACCCCCCCCCCACAAAAAAAAAAAAAAAAAAAACAACAACAACAACAAAAATGCATATACAATGTATATGTATATGTAGAGAGAGGGAAAATCTATTTATTCATATATCTACGACAATCCCTATATTGCCCCTATAAGGAAGAACACTTCTTTTTTTTTTGGGGGGGGGGGGGGGGTTCTCTTAAAGCAAATAGTAGCTAACGCATCCCAAGGGGCTCACCATTCTTCTTGCTTTTGCAAGGCTTCGGGGGGGACCTTGTCGGAATGAGCGCTGCCTGTGCCGCTTCGTCGAACTCGGCGATGAGATCTGTGGCATCGAGCCCTTGCAGCGCCAGCCGTTTCGTGAGAGCCTGGAGCATGCAAGGGGGCTTACCTAAGAGTCCATGTACCCATTCTGCATATACTTGGGCCCTAAAGCTACTATATGGGGACCCCTTTAAGGCCCAAGTATAAACTATATAGGTGCATGGACCCTTTGGGTTAATAATTAGAATGTGTTTTTGTTGTTGTGTTATTTGCTTCTTTTTTTTTTTTTGGGGGGGGGGGGAGTCTTGTTCTATAGGGACCTTAAGGGAGTATTATTAGCATTTATTCTGTCTGGCTTTCTAAGAGTAGCTACACTGTCCCTGAATGTGGTCACGTACCTTTCTCAAAGGGTTCTGACGTATGGGCCCTTGGGGTGTGTAGGGTATACAAGGTGTGGGCTTTTATCAAGGGATTAAAGCTCGTACCCCTAAGGTTGTGTCCCGAAAGGGCTCCCTTAATACACTCCTACTATGGCCCGTCTATTTCTATAGGGGATCTTAAGGAGGGTCCCCAAAACCTAGGGTACGACATTACAATTCCAAGGAACAACCTGACTGTTTTGGGTGGCTGAAGGGCTGAGGAGACAAACTCATCTAGGCGGTTTAGGGTTTAGGGTTCAGGGTTTAGGGTTTGGGGTTTAGGGTTTAGGGCCTTAGGGTTTGCCACCTAAGCCGGCACGAACACCGTGCTCTTGGACACCCCGAAGCCTCCTGATGGAATCCCAAACCCTGAGCCCCATCAACCCAAGGGGGTTTAGGCTTGGGGTTTGGGGTTTAGGGTTTGGGGTTTAGGGAAGCCCTAACAACCAGTGAAGCTGTAAAACCCCGTGGTCAAGCCTGTTGGGGCGATGAGTAGGGTTGTAAGCCTTACCTAGAATTTCCCTACGCCCTCAACCCAAAACTCGAAAATGACAGAAACATCACCCCAATTGCGAAGGCACATGTCCCGCCCTTTCGCTACTGGAAGTGAACCCGCAGCATGCCCCTTGTAAGGGCCTGAAGTAGGGTTTAGGGTTTTTGGGGTTTAGGAGGGTCACAGTAGGGTTTTAGGTGTAAACTTCTGGATGTCCAAAAACCAAACATAGATCGATGTTGCTACAAGTAAGAATGTAGGATCTCCGAAACATGTAGGATCAACAAAAAGAACATCAGATTGCGTGCTTGACAAGATAGGCTACAGTCAAGAAAGCCCAACGGAATAACCGGATAGCCGTTAAAGCCAGATAAGAACTTTTCCTTAGTCGCTTAGTTCATAAGCCCCCAAAAACGAAACCCTAAAGCTCTGCACCTTGAAGGGAAGGGGGGGGGGGGGGAGTTTCGGGTTTGGGGGCGATGGTTTGGGGTCTAGGGTTTAGGGTAGCCTCCAGCCAAATTCTTATATTCTTATGAAACCGGGGAAAAAGGGACATAACTCCACATGAGTTTAAAGGCCCTAAACCCTAAACCCTAAACCCTAAACCCTAAACCCTAAACCCTAAACCCTAAACCCTAAACCCTAAACCCTAAACCCTCAAGGCTTTGAGCCTGCTGGCCTCTTTCCGCATCTGGACCGCATTCCGAGCGTCACGTCTCCGCTCATGGAGCTGCACTTCCAGTTCTTCGTTCTTCCCCTTATTGGACTCTTGCCCTTAGGGTTTAGGGTTTAGGGTTTAGGGTTTAGGGTTTAGGGTTTAGGGTTTAGGGTTTAGGGTTTAGGCCTTAGGCCTTAAAGGGGGACCCCGGCCCAAAGAAGAGGCTATGTGGGCACATGGACCCTTAGGGTTGTGAAGGAGTGCAAACACAATCCTCAACAGCAGCTCAATTCTCCAATCCAAGAACAAGTCAGAGCTTCAGGCAACTAGGTTCAGGGTCCAGGGTTCACAGGGCTGAAGGGTTTAGGGTCTAGGGTTAGGGTGTCTGAGGTTAGAGTGCCGAACCGCTGGAAAACTCTGCTGATTGCGGGGGTGTCTCGTGAAGCTTGCTGGCAGCCCGCAAGCGGCTCATGCGTGACACCAGCGCCTTCTCCTCGCCAGTTCGGTTGGCTTAGGGTAACGTTTAGGGTTTAGGGTTTAGGGTTTAAGGTTTAGAACTTCAGGGTTGTAAGTCAACTAATTCGGATGTGTCTTTTAGCTGCTTGAGCGTTGGAGTGAAACGAGCGTGAGGCGTAAACTCATTGTGGTTGTAGCTACATGAAGGCTGCATGGTGTCTTTTAACGGATGAACATGCTCCTGAAGAGTGTCGTTAAAACCTGTAGAATAGGGACCTTAATCATTAGAAAGGTCTTTTTTCGCGGGGGGTATTATAATACAATTATACAAGGACCAGAGGGGACGACTATTTGTGATTCTTCCGACCCCCTATACCAGGCGTTAGCCGTGTTAGGGTCCCCTCCTGTTCTGTGACTGCACAGGACAGCGGCTCCAAGTTTCCATTGGCCTAAAGCCCTCGAGATAAATATCCAGAGGCTAGTTGAACCCGAGACCCTAAACCCGAAACCCTGAACCTTAAACCCTGAAACCTGAACCCCTAAACCTAATAGCGGTAAGCCCTGTACTGTGTGCAGACCCAAACGCAAAAACTCGATAAGCCCGGAATCCTAGACTGAACTTCAGCTTCTCCTCCCTTAGCGGCATGGTCTCTTGTTCCAGCATCCTCTCAAGTTTCCATGACTCCTTCTCCTTAGCATTTGAGGGGTTTAGGGTTTAGGGTTATAGGGTTTAGGGTTTAGGGTTTAGGGTTTAGGGTTTAGGGTTTAGGGTTTAGGGTTTAGGGTTTAGGGTTTAGGGTTCCAGAATGATGGCTACAGGGTTCTGTAAGGGTCCATGTACCTATGTAATTCTGCTTGGCCTGCACAGGGCTCCCATGTAGTCGCTTCAGGGCCCAAGTATATGCTATATGGGCACATGGACCCTCAGGGGTTTGTAGGAAGTTTAGGGAACTTTTTTTTATTTGGCGGAAGGGGGGGTGGGCCTACAGTTACGGGGCGGGTATCCCTCATTGCACTTGCTACAATTAGAGTGAGAAGGGCCCTGAGGATGGGTGGGTTTGGCTTAACTAAACGAAAAAATCATGTTGGGCAGTTCTTTAAATTAGGGTCCCTGGTTTGGGGTCATTGATAAAGGAGGCCGTACAAACTAGGGGACCCGGGGGCCCAGCAAGGGACCCTAATTTTCGAGATGCCTTGACTCAGCATGGGGGGTTTAAGGGAAGGGCTGCCGTGAAGACAAAGCCGCAAAGGTCGAGTGTCGAAGTCTCCGGGCCGACTTCTGAAGCACCAACCTTTTCCCTAAACCCTAAACCCTAACCCCTTAACCTTATAAACCCAAAACCCCAAACACTAAAAACTCAACGCCCAGGCCGCCCCCCACTACAGTTGGGAGCCTCCTGGGACGTTTCGAGGACCTTCCTGGGCCCTCGAAAGCTTTTGGGGCCCTTCTGAACCCTCCTGTCTGGGACTGCCTGATTAGTTGAACCGTGTTTTGTTGGAAGTAAGCATTTGTCCTGAGTTTAGGCCTAAAACCTAAAAGGAATAGGTTAGCGTGGCTTTGCCGCCTTGAACGGCGTGGGGTGGGAGAAAGGTGTTAGATGGCCTTCCACAATCGGGCCAGAGCTGCTCTTCGCACCTGAGGAGGCTTTCGAGCCTTTGCTGCATCCTAACCTTCACAGCATCAACGCCACATTAATTACAGCAAACCTTATAAACCCTAAACACTGAATATATATACTTTTGTGGTGCTCCGCCGCGAAATCGACGAAGCACAAAAGCATGTCCTTAGATGCACTCCTCAGACAAGGACCTTAGTCAGAGAAGCAGGGCTTCCCTGCAACTGCAAAGCATCGCCGTCAAAGACAAACATGCAACCCAGCCGTGCGCGCAAAACACAGCGATGCACAACGACTTAGCCCGTGACGCACTTGCCACAGAGTCAATTGCACAAACGACATCCATTCCCTGATCTTGCGCAGCTGAGTGCCAGTCTCACAACCCTGAATCGTCCACCCAAACCGGGCGACGAGAGGATTAGAGGGGCGCGGGATAGCGCAGGGTCTCCGAGGACACTCCCAGAAAATGTGCCTATGGGAGCCTAAGTGTCCGCACTGCCAGATGCATCTGTCAGAAACTCCTGCCGGCCGACGCTGACCGACTTGGTTCCAGGTGGCTGGAGCAAAGGTACTCCCTGAGGCCACTGCAGCAGCGGCCGCGCTGGACGAAGCCAAGTCCCGGACGCCCTGCCACGAAACTCTGGACAGGCCCCGGCCACCGGCTCGCCACAGATCCACGCCATTAAGCTCATGACGCTCATCTCCAAGCCACTGCAGAGCTACCCAGGCCCTCCAGCCCTCACGCAAAGCATGTTGCTCACGGCCAATGCGCCGCTGTAAGGCGGGAGCAGCAAGCCAAGCCCTTTGCCGGATACCGAGATCCAGCACAGCACCGCTGAGTGCATGACTCCATTGCCAAGCTCCAGCAACGGTCCAGCCTCTCTGAAGAAGCCAATCCTGCAAGGCCCTGCAGGCCGTCCCTCGCGCAGACGCCCTAACCCAGGGACTACTGTAGTGGATAGTCCCGGCAGCCCTCCAAAGATGCGTCCACAGCTGTTTGGACGCAGTCAGAGTCGGCGCACGAGCAATCCACCCGTAGTTGGCTTTAGATAAAGCAAAACACTTGGCCTCACGAAGAAACCTGCTGAGCCCGAAGCCAACACATCCCAGAAGTCGCAGACGGCCCTTAGCACTACTCAGCCGACACTCTTCAGCCTCAGTGTGGGCGCGGGGCACACAGTACGTGGAGGCCCCCAAGAGCTTGACATGCCTTTTGACCTGGTCAGGCGAGAAACAGTTGCTGAGGTCACGCCGTTGCCTGGCCCCTGTGCCGGTAACCTCAGTCTTGGCAGCGTTTTCGAGAACGCCAACGCTCACACTCCACCCAGCCCAAGAGCCCTGATGAGCGGCAAGCTCAGCAGCGCGATCGGAGGTGATGGTTCGATCGTCCACATACATAGTGGTGTCAGCACGAGCACCAGCGCTATTGCGAACAGCTTTGAGCCCTGCTTGGCACCACAACGCCATAATCAGCGGGCCGAGAGGATCGCCCTGGGGTTGAACCCCCCCAACAAGCGGCACCGGGTGCGTGTGTTGCTGAAATTGTACGAAGCGTCCGAGTCGGAGCCACACAATTTCGAGGACTCTCACAAGTCGCGGCGGCAATCTATACCGGCGAAGCATCGCAGAGGTGATCTGCGCGTCCAGGCAGTCAAATGCCTTCGTGAAGTCCAACGCCAGTACCATCCCTTTGGCATCCAGCTGATCGAAGATGCGAATGAGCGTCACGTAGATGTCTTCCCCAGTGATAGCACACACTTCAGGGGCCAACACAGCCCGCATCCAAACCTGAAAGGCGTCAGAGTGATACAGCGTGGACACCCAAAGCCTCCACCAGGTGCTCATGACAGTGATTGGCCGAAGCTTATCAATGGGAACCGTTTGATTGCTCACATGCCTACCAGGTTTAGGCAGGCAGACCATGCGGCTCTGGCAGAACTGCTCAGGCACAGCACCATTGTCAATCCACCCTTGGGCGAGCCTGGCAAACACATCAAAGGCAGCCGGAGGCAAGTGTTTTATTTCCCCTCCCGTCCAACCATCGGGCGACCCGGCCCCTCCGCCCATGCGGGCCCTGGCGACAAGGTCCGCACCCAAAGGCAAGGGCAGCACGACCTCCTGAGCAGGCTGCTCCACAGTGGCCAACAAAGCGTCCTTGCGGGCATCCAATGATGGCCGGTTGCGGTCAAGGCGAAGCCAAAAATCACTCCAGTAATCGTAGATAGCTCTTGCAGCTTCCACAACAGACTTGGAGAGAACGGTCCGCCCATCAGCTCCAACAGTGCCAACGCAGTTGACGTACGGATGATCCTTAGCTTTGAGCCACCGACTGACCTCAGCCGTAGAGGAGAGAAGACGGTCACGCCAACCTAGAGATCCCGGGATGCTTCATTTTCGATGATGCAAACCTCAAATTCTCCACGCAACATTCCTCGAGGTTAATATGGTGCATTTGATGCTCGCGGATGCTCGCCATGCTCACGCATGCTCACGCAAGTAAGAGCTAAAGCCAACGATTGCTGTACAGTGGAATTCGCTTGGCATAGCGGCCTGCAAGGTGCTTTTTTCTAGACTGCGAGAAAAAAAAGAAAGACATTTCAAAACTGCGAGAAAAAAAAGAAAGACATACGGTTTAGTGTTCAGGGCTATAGGGTTTAGAGTTTAGAGTTTAGAGTTTAGAGTTTAGAGTTTAGGGTTTAGGGTTTAGGGTTTAGGGTTTAGGGTTTAGGGTTTACGGATTTTAGGGTTTAGGATTTATAGGATATATTCAGAGACTGCAAAAAAACACACATATGCAGAGAGAGAGTTTAAGAGTAGAGCGAGACAGATAAGGAAGGTAGGTATGCAGGCCATGCATGCAGGGTTCCACGCGACAAAAAACATTTACCCCGCAGGCCCCGGCCCTCCAAAAGAAGAAGTTCAAGGAAGGACCCCCGCGGTTGCAGATTCCGCTGTTGATTTTTATGGCCCAAGATGAAGCAGGCACCGGTGCGACCGGTGATCAAAGTTGCCGTGAAAGAAGAGAAGGGGGCAGCCGGCGCAGCCGCACCCAAGGAGAAGAAACCGTCCAGATCTGGCAAATCCGGCTGGCAGGCCTGGAAAGAGAAACGCCAGATCAGAGATAACCTGGAGGAGTCCAAGAAAGACCGAGAACTGGTGTTGCTACGGGTCAAGCTTGAAGCTGCTGAAGATCGGGAGCGAGATTTTTCATCGGGCTCAGCCGACCCGCTGCCGCTGGCAGCACCCGTGGGGCCAGTTGAGGCCGCAGAGCCAGAGCCGACCTTTGCAGACCAGGCCACTCAGGCAACTTCTGCGGTCCAGGATCAAGATACACAAACGCCAGATTGGCGATATCCTGCCTCGTACCTGAGTGGCTTGCGGGTTATCAAAGCCAGGCCGCACTACATCAACGGGTCGCCGCCCAGGGATGCCCCTAGCCCGCACCCCTTTGCCCGCCAGAACCGCAATCGTGCAGAGTCCTTGTCTCCCAGCGCTCGGCCACGGAGGAGTTCAAGCTCAAGGTGGGACCGAAGTGCAAGCTGTTCGATCTACTGATTCGTTCCCACCAAAAAAAGCTTGGATCACATGCCGAATCTTGCAGGTGATCCATGGCTGCTGGACGCAGGGCTGATGCAGAAAGCAGGAGGTGCGACACCCCCCCAATTGTTCTCCAGCTTGTCATTCTTGCGGGCAGACAGCACTGCAGGTATGTTCGCCGTTAACGCTCTGTGTTTTTCTGCTCACACAGTGCACTTTTTAGCTGGTGCCATGAAGTCGAAACGTCTTGTGAAGAAAAAACCCCCAAAGCGGGAAAGACCGGTCTTCAGACCTACTGTTACCAGCCCTGGCCGAATCCCGTTTACGGCTACTGCACCGCTGCCACGATGTTTCGCTGAATTGTCCCCTGGCGCATCTTTACATTTTGGTGTGACAGAGCATTACACTGCCCAAACCCCATCAACAAGTCTTAAGGTTGAATGTGTTTGCAGCTTCGGAGGTGATTGTTTTGGGTTGAGCGCTTCTGGCAGTCTATGCTGTCAAGTCCTTTCGGAATCCCGCTTTGGTGGTTTGTTAT